TATAATACTAACAAATTATCTTCTTTTTACATTAATATTTAACTAAAACTTTAACGAAAGTAAATAAATATATTATTGATAACTTTACAAAGACCAGATTTTCGTTATTCTAGCAAATAAATTATTCTTAATACACTTATTAAATCACTAATTTTTAAAAAAAAAGATACTTTCCTCATAGATATTCTTGAAAATAGCATTAATTTGCACTACTTTATTTCTTCTAAAAGTGAATTGTTTCTTAAGGCTAAAAATATATAAAAATTGTAACTATCTTATTGTATTAATGAGTCTTTACTAATACTTGGTATAATTTTAAAAGGTCTTTGATAGTTTTAGTTATCATTTTTTAATTGCAACAGTTTGAATATGTAAAAAGTGCAAGTTAATTAGATTTGGATTTATATAGCATATAATATGTAACAATCAGCAAATCATACAGATGCATTAGTTTTTTTGCAACTTATTGTTATTATTCTGCAGATATTTTATTATATTAATTATAATTTTTGCTCATTTCAGCGAAAACAAAAATAAAAATTTTTATTAATTTTATTATTTTAAAAAAATTTAATTGTTATCCATCATATTTAATTTTTTTTCAAAAAATCTTCTGAAAAATTTTTGTTATTATAAATTGAGAAACTTCTTTCTACACTACAACTAGATATAGATAACCAAATAAATGCAAATTTTAAAAGAATTGGTAATTTATCTTCAAGAATTATCCAATATTTTTCTAAATCAATTTTTTAAACTAAATTTTCTAATTGCAATCCACAATAAATTGCTTATTTATAAAGTAATTTATTAGAAGGATTTGCTAATTCTCTAATAATACAAAATATTTTCTTTATAAAATACCAATTAATATATATTTAGAATCAAAAATTTGAGGACAGGATGTAAAAATTAAATTTGTTTTAGCATCTCTAAAGATTGATCGAAAAATAAGATAAAATTCATATGGACTAAAACTATGAGAAGTTATAGTAGTATTAAGTTCTAAACTAAAATTTAAAGAATTACAATTGCTTTCTAAAAGTGCAGTAATTATAATTTTTAAAATACAACCTTTACTTACAATTTAAAATTAACAAAAATTTTTTATTATTAATATCTGAGCTAATATTAAAATAAAAAGTTTTTATTGATTATATCATTTTATTTTAAAAATGTTAAATTTCAAATTTTCATTATATCAAAAAAAAAAGATTAGAACTAAAAAACACATTCTAAATTAACAAATATTAAATGTATAATATTTTTTATATTGATTGAATGAATTCTTCATGTTCATTATCATCATCATCTAATCCTTGTAGAAGATCAGACATGAATTCGGATTTATTTTTGGTAGACTTTGTCTAAAAATTTCAAATAATATTATATAATATAATTACCCATAAAAAAAAGTATATACATTCTTATAATGAATCATGTGATGCTTGACCAATTAAATATGTCAAATTTCCCTCTCTATAACGAAGTAACCAATCAAAACCTTCAAATTTTCACTAATTTGCTATAATGAAGTTGAGGTGCAGAACGGCTACTTCACTATATTTAAGGGTAGACTGTACATTTTTAGAATTTGTCATTTTACTTGAAATGAAAAGTAATTGTTGATATTTGTATTAGGTTTAACATCAGTTAAATTCTCTAAAGATTTTTTTTTTTATTTCCTTGTAAGTAAAGAATTTTCGCAAAATATTTATAATAATGTAATGGTAAAATAAACATTCATATAAAAAATATGCGTAAAATAAATCATTATAACAAAGAAAATAAAAATTTTCATTTATAAACCATCTGCTGGATCATCCTCATACTCCAAATCATCAGTATATTTTTGTCCCAAATCATCTAATTCTTCTGTTATATATTAAGTGCCATCATCATTGACGACCATTTCTGTCACTTTCTTAACTTCTAAATCTAAATTCCATTTATTATATATCTTATATAAATGGAGCCTAAACTAAGAGGTCCGATTAAGATGATATAATCAGAAGTAAAATTAGCAAGAGATAAAAAGAAGAAGACATCCGATTTGCTTTTACAATTATATTCTAATTTTCAACATTCCATTTCGCTTCATATTCAAGAAATTTGTGAATTGCAAGTACGAATAAAATTTCTTTTTGATATACCGCGCTATTACGAAAATCAAATTCACAAAATAGACATATGAATTGTATCAATGTGCCGATATATGAAGGAATCAAAATGGTCGGTGCATATAATCAAGCATATCTGTTGCGGAGTTATTATTGATGATTTTTACGATATTTTTGATTGATGATATAGTAGTAAGTTTGATTGGTTTTCTAAAATTTTGTTTTATTGCACAAGGCGGATTAAAGATTTGTAGGTGGGTCTAAGAATCGAATCCGGGAACCTACCTTCGGAGAAAACTAAGCCGACATGATCCACATTACTCCTTAGACGCTACCCCGTATACAAAGATCAACAATTGGTCTTTTTTTTTTATTATAACTTGAGAGTACATGCGGGAGAGTACATGCTTTATTTCTGACAACGTCCGAAACCTCTTTATTTTTAATTAAATAGTGCGATCTAATTCGAAAGATGGAATAAATTTGATAATCATGTGATTTTTGATTTAATCCTCCGATTTTAATAAAAACTATTACATAACTGACTCAAGAAACCATTAGACATTTACATTCGCCATTTAAAAATAAATCTGATGAAATTATGGCTGTGACAAATTGAAAAAAAAACCAGAAGTTTCAATTATTCATATATAGACCAATAAAAATCCTGATTTTTTATTTCCTTTTACGGAAAAAAAGAAACCCATTTTCTCTTCTTGATTTCTTATAAGTTGTAATAATAAATGAGGAAACAAAATGAAGCAAATTGAAAGAAGCAGCTGAATTGTATGCATGGAAACACAAAAGATAGAAAAAAAAGACAAGAAAAAGCTCAATTAGAAAATCAAAATTCCAGTATCCTACGCAAAGTGAAAATTATGTTCTATGTTAATAATAGAAATTTATACTTTAATTTTCTATAATCAAATTAAATTATCTATTGCTATATGTGTAAATAAAATGCTTAGACATAAAAATACTATTATGTTATCAATATTACGTAACAAAACCGGTTTCGACGGTATTACATTATTCTTTTTATATTTACAAGATTTGTTATTATGGTCAAAAAGAATAAAAATAATCATATTCAGTCTATCCACCTTTGGCAACTGTAGTCATCAAAATGCGAAGCACAAAACAAAAACAAACAATATTACCACTAAATTCGGAATAGTTCTAACCATATGAAAATAGTTGAAAATAGTAAAAAAGTTAGTTTTTTTAGAATGAATACTTATTACCTTATTTAGTATATGAAATTATTTATATTTCATGATGATATAATGAACCTATTCATAGAACAAATATAACAAATATAACGGCCTGGGAAAAATGTTAACTTAATCAATGATATATAAATTAAATAAATTAATGGAGATCACATTCCATAATTACTTTATTTTTTCGATTGTATTCAAAAAAATGAACTTGACAACTCTTAAGGTAAATTTTTACATTAGACACTGATAGAATTTACGTTAATTTTGCGATTATCGTACAAATTTTATTTATTAGTTCCTAATAAAAAGGAGCGAGACCTACATAACGTATGATAATTTGAAAATGTATTTTTTTGTAAGGGGGAGTGTAACTATTGAAAGAATTGATATCTATCTACTCAAAGCATTAATCTTCCACCTGATAATCTTATTATTCAAAAATGGTAAAATGCAATCAGTAACATAGATGATGCGTAAAGACTTTTTGATCTACAAAATCTTCTATGTATCGAACTTTATTCCTAAAACCAACATCGATCAGATATTCGCAAGTGATAAATATACTTTAAATATTCGCGTCCAGATAAATTCTCTTATCTATCGACATGTATGGAAGAATCGGAGAACAATATTTAATTTTTTTTTTTGTAATTTGTTCATATTGTCATAGAATATTGCATTAATATTATTATTATTTTTTTTTTTTTTTTGCGTTAAACCTGACAAATAACGTTTTGAATTTAATGCGACAACACGAACCTTAATTTCCTTAACTTCCTTCATCCAATTAGAATTATTATATCTTTTATTAACAAACATTTAGAATCGGATATTACGCGGATTTATTTATTTAATTTTCTTTTTTTGTGTATTATTCTAAATAGGGAGAAATAAAAATAATCATTATTATTATTATTATTTTTTTTTTTTTTGATATTTTGTTGACAAAATAATACGGACATATAACGCTCCGAATGAGAGATTTTGGGTTATCAGCAACTTTTATGGAAAGATTTTTTAAATGTAAGTGATCTAACTAAATTTGACGATCATTAGAGCACTAAAAATAGTATTGTTCTTATTAAACAATATTTAAACAATATTTAAGATAAGATTGATGTTGCATTTTGTTACATTTGTTTCAATTAATTTATTTCACAATACTACCCTACCGAATAATGAAAGTCCAATCAAAACAATTACACAAACAATACTTGTCATTCATATTGTAAATATTGTAAAAAAAATTATATAAGGAACTGAATTATTCCTACAATTTTTTTTATAAAAAATAATTTCTTTCATATTCATAGTTTATTAACATATATATATCACATATACAGTTTGTATAAATTGTGTTGACCACATTAATATAAACTGAAATTATCATCATCATTTAAAGAACTTGTTTTTTATTTCCTCGAGACATTTATTTTCAATTTCACTCATTCTTAAAGAATATAACAATCATGATTGTCTCAATTCCGGCTGGTAAATATTCTTCTTTTTTCAAAATGTCTTGTCAAGTAATCGTAACTTTTATCGATGAAAATATCTAATCCTTCGTTCACTTTTCTTTTCATTAGATTACGATATCTTGTATTTCGTATACTGTTTTCGTCCACTCATTCAATTAACGTTATTCTCTCTCCTCATGATGTACTGTTTATGGTATCTTCGTATGTATCAATTTCCATTTAAAATATTTCTTCAAGATTTCTTGCACACGACCCACGATTAACCTCCTTTAAAAATTATTAGGATTGGCATTAGAAGTTATATTAGGACAACCAATAACGCCCTCATTAAAACAAACCGTAAACACACCACAAGCCTATCAAACAACACAAAGGAATATCGACGAAAATAACTATCGTTATGTTCATAATTTGTGGCCAATCTCAATAATATAAAAATCAAATTTTCCTTATTGAAAACAATTCATTCGAAAACAAGACAAATGCCAAGATTAATTTTTTTTTTTTTTTTCTTTTTCTCGAATTTGTCAGACTGAAAAAAAAAAAATTTAATTAAACTTGGCGTTAATTTCCTTTTCTTTCGATCAACATACATACATACATACGCTCATCAAAAATTTTGTTACACCAAAGTAAATAAAAACCATTAATTTCTCTTTCTTCTCTTTGTTTGAAAATCCTATTTTTCTTGTAGTTTCTTGTAGTTTAGCACCAATTGTATTTAATTTTCCTTTTCCTCTTTGTATATATTCTTCGTTTCTTTTTATCTTTTTTTTTTTTTTTTTTTTTTTTTTTTTTTTTTTTTTTTTTATACTATATATCATCTTTTTTATTTTTTTCTTATAAACATAAATCTTTCTTTTTTTATA